ATTGAATTGGATGAGGAAGAAGACAGTGAAGAACGGTGAAGAAAGGAGCAGAAATGTGGTGTTTTGAAACATTATATAGTGGTTTTTTTGTAAATAAAAAGAAGTGCGAGGATAAAATGGGGATATCATGTCAATTTCATTAATTCAAAAGCCGGAAGCTACCGCGGAAGTAAGAATTGGGGAGTTTCCGGCCTTTACAAAGAAAAAGTGAGAAGCTGAGCTTCTCAAAAGCTGCAGCTACATTAGGAAGCTACCCCGTTTGGTGTGGCTTGTGCTTTTAGAGCTAAAAAGCTCTTCCCACAATCCACACCAAACAGGCACTAAAAGATGTCATCTTGGAATCTTGGATGGATTTAGCCGCGGCCACGCTGGCGCTTAGCTAATGGAAGAATAAAAAAAGGGCATTTTGTAAAGTTAAGAAAGTAAAAAAGTGTTAAAAACAGTTTATGAATTAAAAATATTTAAAATTAAAGTTTTAAGACTAAAATTAGAGTTTAATCATTTAAAATTTTAGAGAAATTTTAAAATATTTATGGATGATTTTAAAAGTATTTATTTAAGATTTATTAATATTTTTTTAAAATATAATAAAATATGTAATTAGAAGTTGTTTTGGTAGAGTTTTTAAGCAAGTTTTTTCCTCAGAAATTTAAAAAACTATTCAAGAAAAAAAATTAGTTTGTTTTTTTAGGTGGCCTAAAAGCAAGTTTTGAGCCCTAAAATGCCAAACCAAAATTTTCATCTAATAATTTTTAAAATTTTTTAAATTTGTGAGAAAGGAATTTCGCAGATTGGCTTTTAAATTCTGCCGAACAACCCCTTATCTATTTTTGTCTGTACTTCGTACTCAACACAACGATCGCTATTTAAGAACATCAAATGCATCTTAGAATTCAGGAAGCCTCCCAGCCCTTCAGTGTCAAAGCTCTTTTCTGTACTTTTCGATTTTTAATTCCACCGCCTTTTTACTTTCAGAGATTGGTCTTGGCCTTCCATTTTAATTCCTTTTCCCCTCCTATATTTTCCTGCTCTCTACATTCCTTAAAAAAAAAAAAAAAATCCAAAACATTAACTGTTTTTCCTCTTCCATTATCACAAACTGTGGATCAAAGACTGATATAAGTGCATCATCCCTTCTAAACTAAGGGTATAAAAGATCAGGAAGATGAGTGATTCTGTAAGTCTTTCTTGCTTGGCAAACAAAGTTTTTGATCCAATTTTGACGTACCTTGTCATATATCCAATCACTACTCTGTACTTGTGGAAGCAAAATGTTAAGAAGCTGAAGCTTAAAGTGGATGTGCAGCTGGTCAATAAAAGAACGGACGTGAAGAACAAAGTTGATGAAGCTGAGCAGCGGGGGGAGGAGATTTTCAAGGAGGTCAAGCAGTGGATGAATGATGTGGACGAGCACATTAGTGGAAAGAGAAAGGCCGACATAGATGAATTAATAGCAAAAGCTGAGAGGAAGTATTGCTTTGGGTGGTGTCCTAATCCCAAGGCTCTGTATGATCTCAGTGAGAAAGCCAAGGAGTATGCTGCGGATGTTGAGGGACTCACGCAAAAGGTTTTCGAAAGGGTTTCCTACTTTCAATTTCAGAAACAGGAAAGTATTGTTTCATGGGATGATTTTGTTGACTTTGAATCAAGAAACAAGGTTTTGGGCGAGATCATGAAGGCACTACAGAGTCCAACTGTTGACATGATAGGGGTGAGCGGGATGCTTGGTATGGGGAAGACAACGATGGTGAAAGAAGTTAAAAGAAAAGCTGAGCAAGAGAAATTGTTTGATGTTGTGGTCATAGCTAATGTGACAAGCAATCCTGACTTGACAAAAATTGTAGAGGAAATGGCACGTGGCTTGGGTATGTTTCAGCTTCCTAAAGAACTCTCTGCTCGGCAAGTCGCTGATCGAATAAATGGACGGCTGAGAAAAAAGAATGCGCTTGTTATTTTGGACGATATTTGGGGGAAAATAGATTTGAAGGAGCTTGGAATTTCTTCTGGAAGCAAGCAGAAGGGTCCTGTAGCAGAGCAACAGAATGAGAAGAGCTCACTGCTACAGGATGAGGAGAGCTCATTAAGAGAAGAACAAAAGGAGTGTAAGGTTTTACTTACATCCAGAGAACATAAAGTTCTATCAGAAAAGATGGGTGTTAAAAATGAAAACATCTTCCATGTTAACAAGTTGGAAGATGATGAGGCTAAGAAGCTGTTGAAGTTGAGAGTTGAAGATGATATTGAAAGCTCTCACCGATCGGAAGCTATTAAGATTGTGAAGAAATGTTGCGGACTGCCGCTTGCCATTGAAACAATAGCAATGGCTTTGAGAGGAAAGGAAGATCAGCACTGTAATTCTCTATTGCAAGAACTTAAAGCCTCTAAGGATGGACCATATGCTGTTGTTCATTCAGTTATTGAGTTCCATTTTAGTCGGTTGGAAAGAGAAGAACTCAAGACAACTTTCTTGCTTTGCTGTCTAATGGGCCATAATGCATCCATTGAAGACTTAATGGAGTATGGCACTGGCTTAAAATTATTCCCAGAATTCAACAAAATAGAGGACTTCCGAGATGCAGCACTCGCTCTGGTGAAAAATCTCCGAGACTCTTCTTTGTTACTTAATGGTCCCACCAATATGCAGTTCGACGTGCTAGATGGTTTCCGAGATGCTGCCATGTCAATTGCTTCCAGGGATAGAGGCGTTTTAGCTTCCAAAGATGAAGATGCTGCAGCGGTATGGCCAGACGAGGAGGCAATATTTGAAAAACTCAAGTGGATTTATTTGTCAAATGCTGATATTAGTCAACTTCTTCATGAGTTGGAGTCGGGGGACAATTCCGAAGGAGGGTATCAACAGGTACAATGTCCTCAGCTTACTTTCTTTCATTTGTCTAACAAGTATCCTTCTTCAGAAACTACAGTCCCCGCAGACTTTTTTGAGGGAATGAAAAACCTCAAAGTCTTGAGTTTGATTAAGATGCATTTCTCGTCGATGCCTCAATCAATTTCCCTCCTGACAAAGCTTCGAACATTGCGTCTCAATCAAAGTCAGTTAGGAATACTAGAAGGCTTGGGGGAGATCATAGGAAAGCTGAAGAAGTTGCAAGTCCTCAACCTTGCAGGATGTGATATTACTGAGCTGCCAATGGAAATAGCATGCTTGACGAGGTTAAAGTTGCTGGACATGAGTGATTGTACCAACCTCAAAGTAATTTCACCGGATATCTTGTCCAAATTGTATAGACTAGAGGAGCTAAAAATGGCCAACAGCTTTGACCAGTGGCGGTTTATTGAGCAGCATGAAAATCAAAGTGGAAATGCTAGCCTTGCTGAGTTGAAGCATATGCAGAAATTGAGTACTTTAGAAGTTTGTATTAATGATATCCAAATGATCCCAGAAGGCTTGTTTAATGCAGAACTGAAAAGATCCAAGATTTTTGTAGGAGATTTGTGGAAGTACCGGGATAGTTCTTCTGAAAACACAAAAATATTGAAGTTGGAATTGAAGGCAGGCAGTTCTCATAGTTCAGCAACAAAGTTATTAAAAGTCTCTGAAGAACTACATCTAGAGGGATTACATGGTGTTAAGAATGTGGTTTATCAGTTAGATAATGAAGGTTTTCAAAAACTAAGATATCTCTATGTCCGAAATGCTCCAGAGATTCAATTTATGATTGATTCAGAAAGGTTGGTGTGTAGTAATGCATTTCCAATCTTGGAGGAGTTGGTTCTTCAAAATTTGACAAAAATGGAAAAGATATGTCGTGATATGGGAGCAACCTCTTTTAACAAATTAAGAATCATAACAATTGAATGTTGTCATCAGCTCAAAAATTTGTTCTCCTTCTATGTAGTGAAACAGCTTCTCCAACTCCAAGAACTTGTTTTGAAAGATTGTGAGAACATTGAAGAGATTGTTGCTGAGGAGGTACAAGTTACCGTGCATGAGATTGAGGAAGCAGCTGCAAATATTGAGCTTGGCCAAGTACGGTCCTTAAGATTTGAAAAACTGCCTAACTTTGTTAGTTTTTGCCAAGAAAAGAATAACCTCATCACAAATCAAGGAGGGATTCCGTCAACAAGCTCTAGATGCATGTCACTTTTCAATGAAAAGGTACTTAATTTATTTATTTGCTTAATCTCTTTAAACTTTTTCAAGTCATGGCCTGTATAAGAGATTAGATGATGGGCTTATTTAGTTAATAGTAGTAGTTATTTCTTGATTAAATTATGAAATAAATTAAATTTGAGAAACTTTAAGAGGAATGGAGGAATAATTAACTTATAATATTTAATTTTTCTTTTACATTAATAAAAAAGCGCAAAAAAAAAAAAAAAAACTTATTGCTTATTCATCCCTTATATACTGTAGGAAATTATGAATACTTAACAATTCCTTTCTTTCTCAAATTTGAAAGTTTGACCAAAGAATAGCGGAGACTGCCACAATACTGTCAAAAACCGTCTCATAGTCTATACTCTATATAATATATAAATATAAATAAAATAGCTAGCTAGTAATTTTATAGTTTTAGCTTTTCCAAGATCAGAATACTATTTAAGTCAGAATTTTATAAACTAAGATTTGATATTGTCGTTGGTGAATGTATATTTGCGATGTTTTAACTCTTCATTTCTTTTCCCTTTTTTAGATCAAGCAGAATGTTTCTATTCGCTTGTAAAGAAGTCTTAGATTAATTTTACCTTTTTCGCAAAAAATATTAGTTAAATTGCTAAGGAGAAACAAAAAAAGAAAAGAGAAAAGTATGATTATGTACTATTGTGTAAAGATGTAAGGTGAGATTAATTACTAGGAGGAAGACCATCAAGTCCATTAGCCAAATCTCTAGCTAACTGTAAAAAATTTTCTCACCCATTGAATTTAAATTTGTGTAACTCCCTTTCCTACCCCTTTCTCTCATAGATTGAACCACTTGTTATGTTCTATTAAAAAAAAAAAAAAGTGTGATTACTAGTAATATTCCTTGATCAAATTATAATTTGGCTAAACTCCTAAATTTACTGCTTAATATGAGGATAAGAATAAATCTATCCCTTAATAAAAAAAAAAAGGATAAATTGTCCACTCAAATAATCTATCAAAATAAATCACTTATTATTTAATTTATTATGACGTGTAACATCATTACATATCAATTTTTTGTTAAAAATAAATTTGGGTGACAAACAAAATCCCAATGTATGATGATGTCACGTATTAAATAATAAGTGATTTGTTTTAATCAACAATTTTAAAAATGATTTATCTCTTTTTTTCTTTGAAAAACAGATCTGTCCCAACTTTCCCATTTTGGATGGCCGGATTTGAGAGTTTAGCCTTATAATTCAATAAACAAAGGGGAATAAGGCGATAAGAGAAAAACAAAGTAAAAAAGAAAAGGTTATATTTAAGACCCTGATTGGTGCACACCCGGATCCAACACCGGGGTGTGCACCCCCATATAAAAAAAAAAATTGGACCGGGTGAGTAATGGGCATTTTTTTTTTTTCAAACGGGAGTGTGCACACCCGAGTGTTGACCCGGGTGTGCACGTATCATTTTCTTATATTTAATTATTCATTTTAGGTGGAGCTTTCCTAATATCTATT